AATATTAGAGTTTGCAAATACGACGGGTTTTCGATGCGTCATGTTTTAAATAATGTACTACATAAATAATGAAGCCATTATTTCGCTGATAGACGTATCGATTAAGTATTTGTCAGTGTTAGTTTATTGAGTGTTTTTAAAATTACCTATATTCTTCCTATAGTACCCATAACTTTTAAAATATGTTATTAATCGATACATTGATTGACGGAAAGACAATATTATTAAATTCTTTCATTTGAATTAAATACCATTTTTTTCATTCCTTATAAATTTATCTTTACTATTTTTCGTACCTATCAAAATATAAACACCATTGATAGTAACCAGACACAATGRTTATAGGTTTATAACTATCATAAGCAAAAATAACGTTAGTTTATATCATGGTGGATTTACGATGATCGAAATTCAATATAAATCTATTTAAAACAAATTATTGGATAAATTTGACTAAATTTACCAAATTGAATTTTTATTTAAACACATTAGTCACATATGGTTAAACGATGAAGTATTTATTAAGGTTTATGGAGATCTTATATATTTTACATTACATACTTTACTAAGCTAATTGAAAAAAAAAATTTTTAATAAAACTGAAACCGGCCCTTCCTCTAGTCACCTAGTATAACAAATAACTGTCAAGAACTGACACACGTGGATTGATAAAAAGAATAATGTTTTACTTTCATTTAATCTGCCATAACTATGTTTAATTTAAGTTTTTTGACTAAAAAAACTTGAAATTATTTTATGATTTAAATTTAAATATTTACCAATACTTAGGTCATAGAATATTATTTAGTTTTAAAATAACGTAACGATGATTATTATTTTATTAATTATAAATTGATATATATTACGCAACATATTATACTAAGGACTATATTACTAATGTGTTTTCCACCGTTTCAATAATTTTCAATTTTTTTTCCTATTATTAAATGACAACACTTTAAAACATTAACTAATTAGTAAACATACAGAGTGTCTCGCGAGGATTTACCCATTGCGATATCTTC